AAAAAAAAAAAGCCTCAACTCTAAACAGTGTACATCAAGCACTGTGATAAATCTCATTCAGAAACAATACCTTATTAAGATGTTAGAATTTGGTATAAGTTAGTTTATCTATATACCTCTTTAGTTATTCAGAAATACTTTGTTAAGACCAAGGTGAATAGAATCAATAAAGACAGACATACTGATATTTTTAAATTACCAAGAAAATTGAATCACTGAATTATCTACTTATGAATCAAAATACTAAGAAAATGCTTTCAACTATTAAAATATAAATGCTCACTATGTAAGGCATTTGATTTTTTATATTACAAATCATAGTATTTACTATTATCACTGACCTAACTAAACTTAAAACACCTGTTTGGAGTTGGTCATAAAATAATAAACTTATAGTTCCTTTTCAAACTTTCATAAGCCTCCATCTTGAGAAGAAAATTTTTAGAAGAAAGGCTTCCATTGATCTGCCTTGAAAAATGGGGAAGAGTCAAAATTAAACCTGTTCACATCACAACTTTTCCTTCTTATTGTACATCTTACCATGTCCCTATACAGGGAGACAGGCCAGGGAACTGAGTCTCTATTACTACAGTTGTCTAACTGAACAGAATGTTTCCTTATACGGAAACAAAATAAAAGAAAACAAAAAAGAGAAAGAAATACAAAGCTAAAAGGCCTCCACTCACACTGATACAAATGAAATGAAAAAAAACAGAATAAACTTGTTTATGTATTCTGAAGTAGGACATAAATTAAGCATTCCCAAAATTCTCAATATTTAAAATCCTCCTCAACCTCATAAAAAGTTACACTTTTGCTAAGTTTTATATCCTTAACTTTTATCAAAAGAAAAACATGATGGCTTTAGTTTCCACAACACTAAATTCAACTTAGTAAAAGCTCTAACACAAGTATTGTTGGAATTTTGCTCTCATTAATTAACTTCAGGAGACCATACTTTTATTCCAATGATGCTGCCTTCTTTTGTTTTCAGAGATCTGGTCTACAGCTAGCTGCCTTCGGCCTTCTTTAAACTCATACTGCTCTGACTCATATTTTTTTCTAAAGCAAGGTAATATATGCATACTTCATTGTTTTGTTAAGTGATTTAATGGACTGCCTATAGTTTGAAAAGCAAAATTATTCTTGACAGTAGCTTAGAAAATAAATTATGATTTTGTCATCTCTGGATCAATACATTCTACAGAGCCCAATCTTGAGCTTTTGGAAGCAAATCAGGTAAAAAACTAGGTTTGGCTCCAAGAACTTAAGGTTTGTTTCCTAATAGTCAATCGACCCTCGAAAATAGTAGTGATCTCAACCAGTAGTAATTGGTTCAAAGTATATTCTAACATTGAAGAGGAAAAAAAGCCTCTTGAAAATCAAGTCATTCCCAGATACCTCCCTATTGCAAAAGGGGGGTATGATTGAAAATTTTTGGTTAACTACTCCTTTACTATATTAGTTGCACAACAACTTGAAAAATGTAATGAAGGATTTAATTTATTGTCAAAATTACTTAAGACTAAAAGACATTTCAAATTAATTCACAATTTAGCTCTTATGTTGTAACTGTCATGAAATTCAACAAGTAGAAACTATGATTTTTCTCCTTTTATAGACAATCCAAAAGAAAGTTCTAAAAAGTTCCCAAGTAATAGCAAAAGTGCTAGAACGAGTATATGACTTTCCAGGGAGATCATTTATGGATGGGTGATATTCACCTGAATTGTTATGAGAAATTTTGATTTAAAACGCATAACTCTACCACAGTTCAAGAAACGTATTTATAGCAAGATTTGCATAAGAGAAATCAAATCAGATAATACTTGTATGACAAGAATCTTTATAAGGCGATGACTTATAATCACAATGGCGACAGTTAAAAGTCTCAAAATTTGAGCTTTAAAATGTAGTTTATATTGAAATCATCAATGTGAAGGAATGCTTACAACTAAAATGGAACAAAACGGATCATTTCAACGATTTTACCAATTATAAGTCAATAAATACCCACAAAAATGTAAGGATCTGAATGATTTCTACAATAAGTAAGTTTGAGTTTTAGAATAAATATGAACCACATCTATTTTCAAGAGCCCAGCTATCCTGCATTTGAACAATTTCAATTCTCAAGCCTCAGATCCTGTCTACAACAAATCTCATGTAAAATACTTTGAAATGAGGGCTTTAAAAAATTTTTTTTTTTTGCAACAGGGTCTTCCCTATAGCCTCAGTTGGCCTGTTTCTTGTTAAGCAGACCAGGCTGGACTTGATCTCACAGAGCTTGGTCTGCCTCCCTAGTGCTAGGATTAAAGACATGTGACACCACACGTGGCTGAGGGCAATCATTTTAACAGAAGAGTTAAACACAGTTTCAAATATCCTTAGCTCTGTGGCACAGAATCTAAAGAGAAATGGGGTAATGTTTATCTGTTTATCTTCTTGATCATCTTAGTATATTGTGACTGTTTCTCTTTCCTGTATTCTTTTTCTCCCCTACATACTCTTTCAGTGTAACAGCCACAAGAACTCAAGATGCTCCTGGTACAATCAGTAGATGGCTTATAGTAGATTTCTTATAGGTGAGAAAACTTTTATTTTCAATGATTAGCCTGGTGATACACTGCATTTTATTGACATTTCTGGTCACAGTAATTCATTTGGTCAGTATTATCCAAGAATTCCTCCTGGTGACTACTGGCTGTCTGTACCACAGAGAATTCAAAGACTTCACACCCAAGTAAATTAGAGTTTTCTCTAAACACAATAGCTTACATATGTTGGCTATCATACTAAAAAAACAAAACAAACAAACAAAAAACTCCTGAAATGGGTATTACTATCAGCTTCAGTTTTCACAATTTGGAAGGCCTTGTTGTCTGACTTTCTTACAGACCATCTCCAACTGAAGGGTACTAAACTATCACACAAATAACTATATTTATCCTTCTCAACCAGTGATGACTGTTTTAGTCATATACATTCTCCTATCTATGCAATAGGAGAATCTAATAATCTTGTTTCTTGCCCTAAAGTCATTACAGTTTGTTCTCAGAATAGTAAAAAGATTTCTAAATTTCATACTCTCTGTTTGCTATTATATATTTAACACACGAATTAGAGATGAAGACTTTTACCGAGATCTTATGAATTAACTTACTTTCGACAGATGATGCTCAGAGGAGAATCCCAGTCCATAAACAGTGTTTGCCCGGCTATCAGCCCATTGGCCAAACTTTTGAGATGTTTTAGTAAATGTCATGTTTGGAGTGATGGTGCTATTTATTATTGCCTGAAAAAATACAAGAAAAATGAATAACCATCCAATAATTAGTAAATTTAAATGCAAGAGTATTTTAGCTACATAAAAATAGGACCATCAGTAACCCACAAAGTTAAATAAGGATAGTTACAATAGTGGCAACGTTGAAACATGTAACTAGTAGAACTATAGATATATATTTTATAATCCAAAAAATTTCAAAGGTTTTTTTTTTTGTATGTGTGCATGTGTATGGGTGTGTGTGTGTGTTCCTTATACACATGTGTGTCTGTTTCAGGACCAGAAGTCAACCTCAGATGTTGCTCCTCAGGAGTTTTCCAACTCAGGTTTTGAGATAGTCGCTCACTGGGACATGGGACTTGCTGATTTGGTTAGGCTGGCTGGCTAGCAAGCCCCAGGGATCTGCCTGTCTCCACCGCCTCCCCACCCCCCCAGCACTGAGATTATAAAAGTGTGCCACCACATCCAGCTTTTTACATAGGTGCTAGAGATTCAACTCAGGTCCATCTTTACACAAGCAAGCACTTTACTGATGAACTTGTTCCTCAGTCCTAAGAGATGAACCTTGTAAAACTGCCAGTTTTTAAAAAATTAAGTTGAAAATAGAGAAACATCAGTATTTTTTTTTTAACCTTGGTTATAGAACTATTGTTCCTTTTTTATCTTTTTCAGTGCTAGAAATAAAAAAATCCAGGGCTTTGCATATACTAAGCAAGTCTCTACAACTGAGCTATATCCTTAGTCTTCAAATAGTTTTGAGTATGGTCAGTTTCATCCCTTTGAATGTTTAGGATTAATATTTATTAATTTTGGATGCTACTCTCTGGAAGCAAATAAACTTTAATCATAACAGTCTTTCAAAAATAAATGTATCTATAAAAATTATTTTGACATTCTAAAATACGTCATTAAAATTTTCTTAAATTTGGTTTACCTGAAATATATTGATACAAAGACTTTCAATAGCTGAGCAGTTCTTTCCCTACTCAAGAAAAAAAACAAACCCTTCAGTAAGCACTTTCTCATAAAATGGTATAGACTGATAGTAATACCATTTCTATTTTACACATTAATTTCTTGGGAGAAAAAGCATTTTAGCATGTTAAAAGATTAACTATGGTGATGATAATAAATTTCAACTACTATAACATATTAATTCATGTTCTCTGCCAGTGTCAGAAAAGGAAAGAATCATTTTTAGTTGGGTAAAGCCCTCCAAAATCAAGAAATATAATTCCAACAATAACAAAAACATACACGTTACCAAATCCGGAAGCAGCCATCTATCAAATTAGTAAATGTGGAATGAAAACCAAGTATTTTTAGAACAAATTTAAATTTGTTTACCATGCAAATAACAACATAACTGTAAAATATGAGTTATGCAGGTACTGATGAAGTTTTAACAAGGAATACATGGACACTCGTCCTATTAAGAAGACTATAACAGGAACTGACGCCCTCCTCTCTCACAGGAAACAGATGTTATCTATTGCAATTTGAGAGCTTTTCTCTTTGTACAGAATTTATATCTTCATACTTATAAAGCTTCCTCACCCTTTTTTTTTAAAAACAGCTTCCACCAACACACCATTTTAAGGTATGTAAAATGTGGCTAAGTTACTTTAATTAGTAGGGCAGTCATCAAAGACTAAACAAGTTGAAACACTAAACAGGAAAAATAAATAAAGAATCATTGATTTCATCATCAATTTTTGAGCACTTACAGCTGCCAAGTACAAGTATAGAAATTTGAGATGCAACAGTAAGACAAGCAATGCAATTTCAGATTTCATTATGTAAGGCAGTCAGGATGAAGAAAAGAAATAGCTAACAATGGGATTTCAGAGCAGGCTATGAGCTGTGAAGCTGCAACAGGATGTGAGAGAAAGTGAACAAATAAAGACTGGAAGCATGGCTTCAGATTTGGTGGTCACTTTTGATGTTCTCTGAGGAACATTTGTGGAGGGACCTAAGTGTTTTTAAGGCAGAGCAGGCATTTTGGTATGTGGTCCCAGTAACTATAAAAGACAAAATGACAACACATTTCATAAACAACTAGAAAAAATGACTAATGTGCTGTTGGTTCCTGGCACACATTTCAACTATTTCAAATTAACTTCTTTGTAGTTTTTTTAAAAAGGTCCATTTTAGGGGGTGGAGAGATGGCTAGCAGTTAAGAGCACTGACTGTTCCTGCAAAGGACCCAGGTTCGATTCCCAGCACCCACATGGTGGCTAACAACCATCTGTAACTACAGTTCCAGGGGAATCCGATGCCGCCTTCTGATCTCTGCAGGCATTGCACAACACGGGTGCATTTACACACATGCAGGCAATACACTCATACAAATAAAAAATAAAAATAAAATATTTTTTAAAGACCTATTTTAATCTTCATCCTGAGCCTTTCCTTATCTCTATTATTTGTCCTTTAATCATTGAAGAAAAACCTTTAAATAGATTGTTTCATACTTAAATTTCTTAGATTCTTTGACTAGAACACTATGACTTTTTTAAAAGAAAATTTTTAGTGCTTTAAAATAAATGATTCTCAGGTTGGGTGTGGTGGCACATGCCTTTAATCCCAGCACTCAGGAGGTAGAGGCAGGCGGATCTCCATGAGATTGAGGGCAGCCTGGTCTACATAGTGAGCTCCAGGCCAGCTGGGGCTACAGGGAGACCTTGTCTCAATCAATCAATCAATCAATCAATCAATCAATCAATCAATCAATCCTGATTCTCAAGCTTAGAGCTCTTGTCTTTTTAGGGAAAGAGGTAAAAATGGTATCATTAAAGATCGTGTAGAGCAAGATCGTGTAGAGCTTTAATTCTAGCTAGGCCATGCCTCTGCAACACAATCAGAAAATGCTGAAATAAACCACATGCACAGTTCAAGTGCAAAGAAAGAACAAACATTTTCTACTTAAGAGTTCTATGGGGTTTTTTTTTGTGTGTGTGTGTATGTGTGTGTGTGTGTGTGTGTGTGCGTGTTTTGTTTGTTTGTTTGTTTGTTTGTTTAAACTCAGTAATGAAATACAGAGATAGAGATGGGGATAGGAAGGAAAAAATTTTGGACAAACTAAAATCTATTAATCATTTCTATGCAGTTCCTTTTCTTCGACATGGATTACTTTATTTGACCTTTGTTTTTATTTAACACTCAACAATATCTAATAAAACTATAACATTATCGAATAAAACTACACTATATTTGTAGTTTGAGTCAAGAGACAAAACAGATTACAGAAACTGAAATTGAAGTCAGGGAAAATAAAAGCCTGAGATATTTCACCAAACCAGTTATGAAAAATTACTTTTCATTAAATAACACTTCACAGAAACTATCATTATCTCAAGTCTTTAAATCATTCAAGTAAAAGTGAAAAGATTATCTGGGCAAACTCAGGCTAGTCACATATGTACTAGGCACAAAGTACAGCCCCTAAGGCCCTATAATCTAGTTAAGGCTTCAACTTTCAAGGTCTGCTCCTGAAAGAAATCTACCAGCCCCTCAGCACTGCCTGCTGGTTTTTGTTGTTGTTTTGGGTGGTGCTGGACACTGAACCCAAGGCTTTGGCATGCTACCAGCATTCCCTCCCTATAAGCTAGTTAAAAAGATAAGAAATGAGCACACTGAAAAATCAGATTACAAGTTTGGCACTAAATTAAATGACTTTTTATTTCCCAAATCACACTAGGCCATATGTAAAATTATTAGCCTAGTAATACTAATAATAATAACAGGGGGCTGGAGAGATGGCTCAGCAGTTAAGAGTACTGACTGTTCTTACAGAGGACCTGGGTTCCATTCCCAGCACCCACATGGTGGCTAACAACTGTTTGTAATTCCAGTTCCGGGGAATCCTACACCTTCTTCTGACCTCTGCAGGCATTGTATGACACGGGTGCACATGCAGGCAATACACTCATACACATAAAATAAAAATAAATAAAATTTTAAAAATAAACAATAATGGTGTTTATAGACTGATTTCCAATAGACACTGTGCTTTTTCTCTTGTTAGTTTTTTTAGAGACCGAGTAGCCCCAGCTGACTTAGTACTTTCTATGTAGACCAAGCTGGCCTTCATCTTATAGAGATCTGCTACATCCACCTCCCAATTGTGAGATTAAAGGCATGTACTACCACTTCTGGCTCTGTTGTTACTTTAAAAAAAACCCACTAATTTAGTAAGATTTTAGGGTTACCTCTTCAGAGGGGGGAATGTTAGAGTACCCAAAAGCCCCATAAAAATAAATAAAGAAGAAAAAAAAAAAGAAAAAGAAAAAGGTGATGGGAGATATGGGAGGTGTTGGAAGGGAGGGAGTGGGCATGGATTTGATCAAAACACCTTATATGCATGTATGAAATTCTAAATAAAGTTTTTGTAAAAGTTAAAAAAAAAAAACTAAATCAGTGTGTGTGTGTGTGTGTGTGTGTGTGTGTGTGTGTGCGCGCGCGCGCGTGTGAGCGCCTACACCATGTGCATACTGCCACACTCTGTGTGTGGCGGTCAGAGGATAACCTGCAGTTCTCTCCTATGATGTCGGTCCCAAGGATAGATCTAACTCAGGTTGTCAGACTTTGTGGCAAGTGCCTTCACCCTCGGAGTCATCTTTCCACCTAACTATGCATTTTTAAATGTATTTACTCTGCTGGATGTGGTGGTGCATACTTTTAATCCCAAGACTAGAGAGGCAGAGGCAGGCTACCCTGTCTCAAAAGACCAAAAAAACAAATAAACAAAACAAGCAAAAACACAAATGTTGGGCTAGAGAGATGGCTCAGTGGCTAAGAGCGCCAACTATTCTTGCAGAAGACCCAGGTTTGATTCCCAGCACCCACATGGCAGCTAAGAACCGTCCTTAACTCCAGTTTCAAGGGAATCCTCTTCTGACCTCCATGGCATTGCATGACATGGGTGCACTTACATACATTCAGGCAATACACTCATACACATAAAATAAAAATAATTAAATAAAACTTAAAAGACACAAATGTATTTACTCTTAACGGCAATACTATGGTATAATAATATATTATTATATTATTAGAACCTTTTACAAGTGAGAAAAGAGAGGTGCACAGAGGCTAATACTTCGCTTGAGGTCACATATCTGGCAAATTTGAATAAGCATATGCCAATGAGACGGTTTGGCTCCAGAGTCTGTGCTCTTCTACATTGAACTGACCAAATCTGCAGGGATTATAAAGGCCTCACAGCTTCAAGAAAGCTTGAAGAATGGAATCTGCAGAACCTGATGCTTACAATTTCTTTAAGTCTGTTATACAAAATTCGCTGATGATAAAACAGATTTTTCTCTCTTTTGAACTGCATGTTATCCACCAGGAACTAAGTGTATTCTGCTGATTTTAATTTACTTAATCTTTACAACTACCAACACAGAGATGAGCGAGCAAAGATGTTCTGAGAAGTATTTGTTCAAAATCAAAACAGTAACTTGCAGAGATGAGGGCTGAATTCTTGCTCTTAAATGTTATAGCATCTACCTAAAAACAAACTTCAGGGTTTCTGTTTTATGTTTCTCTACCAGTTTTAGTTTTGACATTGGCAGAGTTTATGATTTAGGGATTCTGAACTGAACTGCCTACTAGTCTATAGAAGCTGATATGGTTAGGCTTTATGTTATATTAGGTCAGGTTATGTTAGGTTTAACTGTGCTCCCCCAAAGGATCTTGTGACTGGAAGGAGGTACTGTAGAACAAGTGTGGGACTTACAGGTAGAACATTAGGTCACTGGGAACGTGCTCTAGGACGATAATTTTCAAGAATGTCAGTATTCCTGAAGGGGTTGTTATAAAAGGAGCAAGTCCAACCCTATTCTCCTTTGTCCTGGCTCAAGATGTAATCACTTGCTTGCTCACAAGTTACTGGCATTTCTACCTAAATCAAGCAGTGCTGCAGCCAAGGGGCAGCCCTCACCAAGCCTGGGATTTGCCCTTCGGACTTACAGCCTTTAAAACCAAGTTGAACAAATCTCTACATAAGTAGCCAACATCAGGCATTCTGCTATAATAATGAAAAATATGGAAGTTCACTTTGCTCACCAGTATATTCTTATCACTTAACATTGATACATACCAGAGATGCAAAGAATATTTAGTAAATAAACTAAATAACCCAAAATTTACAGAATATTTTTCTCATATAACTCAATATAATAAGGGGGCTTATCCAAGTAATTTGGTAGACAAGAAATGTTACCATTCTAAGAATTATTATTTTCTGTTTCTTAAAGTTAAACCTCAAAATTCAAGAGATATTTTAGCTTAACGCAGAGAAAAATTTGAAAACTAAAATACTGTATTGTACAAAGCAAGACAATAAGATCACTTAAAATAACTTTATCTTACCTTTGAGCCATCTAAACTGATTATCCTATACACATTTCTTGTGCTGTCATAAAAATAAGACACAGTAACTGCATGCTTGCTGGTGGGTACCCAGTTCTTCTTTGTGTTTGGGTCAATCTGGAAGACATGAGCTCGAGTGCTGAAGATAGGTTGTTCTCTGTGGGCAGAAAAGAAAAAGAAAAAGAAAAAAAAAAAAGAAAACAAACAGTTTTACTTCATCAGACAGAAGAGCATAAAAACAATAAAGGTGAATGTGTAACCAGAAACTTCCATATATCCCCAAACAAGAGAAACTGTCTTTCCAGATGAATAATGTGTTCAATTATATACTCTTTAAAACAATGATAGCAGATTCTTGCTATTCAGAGATTTTGTATACATGAATTCAGCTACTTGCTAAAATGTATCATTAACTGTCAAATTAACATTGAGGCACTTAAGTTTTTGCTGATATCTACAGAGCAGCAGAAAAATCTTTCACACAACATACACCTTTCCACCTAAGATGAACAAGATATTATTCTGCCATCTTATTTCAGCACTCATATTAAACAAGCAGTTGTCTTTTTAGTGGTTTGACACCATGATTTTTGCAACTTCTGTTTTATGTTTTAACTGTTTAAAATCCCTGCCCCAACTCTGCATAGTGCTAAAGTGTTCCTAAGTGCTATACACTCCTAGGTGCGTTAATGTGTGTTATGAATAAAAATATGTGTTCAATACGCTTGATTCAGGTGTAAATCATACTATAGTTGGTCATGTGTTCGATGTTAATTTTTCAATAACATATAAAGAGAAACACACATAAACTGAGTGCAGTGCTACACAGCTACAATTGTAGCACTTGGGAAGCAGAGACAGGGATTTTGCAAGTTCAAGATGAGCCTGGACCAAATAGCAACTTCCAGAGCAAACTGGGTTACGTACACAATGAGACCATGTCTCTTTCACTTCACTGCATATTTTTCTTTTCTGAAGCAGCTCAATAACTAAAAAGAATTTTAACTCTGTTTATTTATTCATTTATTTGAGAGGGTCCTGCTATGTAGCTCAGATTAACCTTGAACTCAAGATCCTCATGGGGGGGGGGTAGAGTTGGACAGACAACCCAGTGGCTAAGAGCACTACTGGCTACTCTTACAGAGGACCTGGGTTCAATTTCCAGCACCCATATGATGGCTAACAACTATTCCTAATTTCACTTCCAGGGGATCCAATGCCCTCTTCTGGTCTCTGCGAGTTTGCACACATGTGGTGCACTTATATACATGCTGGAAAAATACTCATACTTGCAAAAATTAATAAATTTTAATTTTAAAAATTAAAAAATAAATCCTCCTGCCTTAGCCTTGTGAATGCTAGGATTATTTGGTTAAGCCACAATGCTTGCCTTGGGATTTTAACTTTTTAACTTGTAATACTTAATGTGTGACTCTAAATAAAAAAATTCATTTTAAAGAATTTTATGTATTTTTAAATATTAAATTTAAAGAAAAGGAGTATAGACAAGAGGAAAAAAACAAACCAAAAAAGCAAGCAAACAAACAAAACCCAGCAAAGGCTGGGTTCATGGCAAAATGGCTCTTCAGCTTAATCCTCATGGGCTTGCAGCATGTTCCCTCTATTCACTTTTGCACTTAGAGTACTGGTGTGAAAGGTAGAAGCTTTCCCTGTAGGCAACCTGTCTCTTTTCCAGCTTTATTTCTGGAAACTCATAATACAACATTCATTCATTCATTTGAGACATGTTACTATACAGCTCCTGTAGGCCTGGAATTCAGGCTCCTCCTGTGTACTGGGATTACAGACATGCACCATACCTGTTCCCTTTTTTTAATGTTGTTGGCCCCAAAAAAATTTTTTTTTTTTCTTTTCTTGAGACAGGGTCTCCTTGTAGCCCCAGCTGGCTTCGAACTCACAAAGATCTGCCTGCCTCTGCCTCCCAAGTGCTGGGATTAAAGGCATGCACCACCACACCTGGATTTGATGAGTAAATTTACAGTGCACAGTTTAACATTTTTTTCAGAATCTAAATTAGTAGTTAAATGATTATTTTTCCTTCAAGGTTTCTATGATCAATCAACAAATCTATACTCCATGGAAACACAATGTTTTAAATAGTAAGAACGGTCCACATATTAACTCATTCAATTTAACAAATTCTTACAATTTAATTCCTTCAATAAGATCTGCTCATTAGTTATCTAATAGGTAAATGACATTTTAATATCAACTAAATATAAAGCTTTCTTCAATCTTCTTCTGGATAGCTGGCTTCTTAAAGCTGAATTCAAGATTCTGTGCTCAAAAGCCAATCTATCAAAGTCTGGATAATGAAGACTAGGGAAATAATGGTTCCTAATACAAAGAAAATAATTTCTAGACCTAATGAGAATGCTACCACTTCTGACAGAACAGCAAAGAATTCAAACTTTCATTAAAAACGTTACATGGCAAGAACTGGGATAGAGACTGAGGATGTAACTCAGGATCCCTGCCCTTGAAAAGTTCATGTTGGTGAGGGAAGATTAAAAATAAACTCTTCATCATGATACACTACCTGAAAATAATTGAGGGCTTTGGTAGAGAAACTGATGCTTAGGGAGAGTTTTAAACAAATCATGGCATAACGGATGAGACAGCAGCAAGAACTTTAGTAAGTATGCGTGCATTTAAAGGAAGATGCTAGAATGAAGAAATAAGCCAGTTCATGAGGGTCTCCACTGGAAGTGGCTAAAATCAGAGAGGAAATAATTTTGCATTTTAGGAAGACAAAGTAGGCAGCAATGTGCTTGCCTACGAGGCATATGATATATAAAGCCCTGGGTTCAGTTCCTAGCAGTGAAAAAAAAATATTGCTGTTGCTGTGTAAGGGGAGGAAGCCAAGATGTTATTAAATATCTATAATCCACAGGATAGTGCTCCAGAACGAAGAACTAGACAGACCAAAATGTCAACAATGCCAAAGTTGAGAAATCCTGATGTGGATCCTAATGAAGTACAAATCTGAGTTTCCTGGATTTCTATATTGGGTACTGTAAGCCAAGACAGGAAATAGAAAGTAAGATTTGAAACTGAGGAAATGAAGAGAAGAGGAGCTCAACCTTGACCAAATGTAGATGCTGAGAGTTTGCATGTACAACTTCAGGGCAAAGAATTAACATTTATTTAGAACTCAGCAGAGAAAACTGGGAGTAGTAAAAAGTTGGGGAAAATCACCAGATTTTATAACCATGAAGTTTAAGATATGTATTATACATGTCAATAAATTTCATTAGAGAAAAGCTGTGAAATAAGCAGTAGAGAAGGTATATCCAAAATCTTGTGGCTTTTATCTTTAGAAGATCTATTTTAGGTCAAATTTACTGCTCCAAGTATGCAAGTGATTAAGGTGATACCTTTTCTAATAAACTAGATGGCTCTTATGAAAAAGAGTTCAACACACCACTTCCTTCACAATAATTCATAAAATACTACTAAATCAAACTTTTTCAAACTGTGCTTCATGAAACAGTCTGAGAAATAGTCCATTAAAATAAGTTTTGCAAACACTATGTCTTATTCTAAAGTATTTATAATGCACATTAGAATAGTAAAGTTCTGCAATAAAGAAATTCATTTAACCATGAATAATGCAGCACGTGGAAAATTATTTGACCTCAGAGCTCTTCTTCATGTTAGGCTTCTAAGTTCTATCCACACTATGAAAATCAAAACACATATTTAGAGGAAAATATTATCTCACTGAAAATTGGTCTTGATAGTCTACCATTACTGTTGATGTTAACAATTATACTTATGTAGTAATGATTGCTAGCTGTGACCTGGATGTTCCTCTGACCCTGTGATAATGAGCCATGGACCCACCTCCTTCCCATGCTCTGCAAAGGAGTCACTCCCCTTCCCTCTTCCAGCCAATCGGTTGACCATAGCTGCTTGCAGGGGAGGGGCTAAGGGTATAAAAGCTGGGAAAACCACTAGGCCGGTCTCTAGCCATTTTGTGAGGCTGTCTGGAACCACTGGATTTATGTTTGGGTGTGGACTTCTGAACACAGCCGTGAATTGGGGGGAGGGGCGCTAAGTAAACCCGCACCCCAACCTCAGTCCAATAAACTTGTTAAGATTCTTCAACCAGGGTTTGGAGAATTCTTTTCTCAGGTTGTCACAAGGACCATGGGAGGAGGGGAATGAATGCCACCTGCACCTCCCAGCAGTGAATTTGACTAACAATTGGCATCACAAACAAGATATGACGAAACTGACAATGAGTTTCCCTGATATGGGGAAAGAGACCAACAACAGAAGTAAAGTGGGGTGAGGGGAGAGTGTGGGCTGAGGAAATGTTAAGCTGGTGGACCATTCCCATAGGCTAGATGGCTAGTAGCATGGTTAATGCAGTGGACAGTGAGATACGTAACTAGGGTTGAGGCCTTCTAAGCAGTTGAGGTTGATGGGAGAAATCCTGGGGTAGCAGCCATCTTGTAGATGGTATGGGGTGGCATGCTGTGAGTATGGAGATGCCTTGAAAATAGCAGGTCTGGAACAGATTCTGTAGGCTCTGGGTGTAGCACACAGGGACAGAATGTCAACAAGCAGCTGCAGAGGCCTGCTTGGCCGCTGCTTTTGACAGTAAGAAATCTGTCTGAAGCGGAGGCCTTAGCACTGAAGGTGTTAGAGAGGAATTAGAGCAGGAGAGGGATATGAGGCTGGCCTCTTCGGTACTGGCCTCTGACCTTGCCAGTAAATTAGATTAAGAGAGAAAAGGAGATGGAAGTCAAAAGGGAAAAAAAGCCCAGATCAGAATGATAATAAAAGGTCCATCCTGGGATCCTAAAACCTGGAACCCTTGGGAAGAGTCAGGTAGTGAGGAAGAAGGAAGTGACCTAGAGATAGTGGGAGATGCTCCTCGGGTCCAACCTTTAATTCAAAGAAAGGGAACATCCATGGTCCAACATGCTGATGGAGGTCTTAACAATAGCCCAGTGCAGGAGACCATGGTAATCAGAGAATACTCAGCACCAGAACTATTAGAACTGGGAAAGACATTTAAACAAGCTATGAAGGAGCCTTTGGCCACCTGGCTTGTGAGGCTATGGGACATGGGAGCAGATGGGATCATTTTAAGTTCTACAGAAGCAAAGAAGTTAAGCAACATAA